TAAATGTACACGAGACGGGATACCGAAGGATTCTATAAAAAGTTAGATCGTGTAATTCATCGTGTAGGGAGGACTTGAAAAGGAGAGATGGCAATTAAACCTATTATGTCGCATGCGGTTAAGGCAACGACGTGCTTTCTGCCAGCGAGACTTTCTCATACGTTTTTACGAAGTGCACGTCATTGAAACACGAAAGGGTTAAGAACATCGCTGCTTAAGATGCACATACGTACAGTGAGTGCCGATCGAACTGGAATTCATGCATCTTAACCATGTTTCCTTGGCATGTTGTTACGGGCTCACATGGACGAAAGAGAGCGAAGATAATACCGATCGATACCGATCAAATTATACAAATCGGTGTTTCCATCGCTGCATAAACCCGTGAGAGGTTTCAAAGTATTTTTTTAAGTATAATTACATATAAAGCGATCGTGTTCCTTCCTGAATTTGAAAAAAACATTTTCAAAGTAATGACGATTCGCGATCGAGATGCAAGACGTCTCTTAGATATTTTTTAAAGATCTATATTCCTCGCAGACTTTGTACGCACGTTCAGTAATTATATACTTGGGCAATCTTTAAATGTCGATGAAAGTCGGGTTAATCAGAGACCTAAAGGCTTAACGGTTTTTCACCTGAATTCAACTAGAGCCTCGATTAATATCGTATCGAGCAATTAAATCTGGCTGAATTGAATCCCGAAAAAAAAAAATGTCGCTCGCCGGTAGTGTATTAGTAGGGCACGCAGACACACGGATTCAACTGTCCAACGAGTGTACACACGCTCGTATCCTGGATGCAGAAAGTTTGTGCAATCAGTGAACTCGTGCTGAATACAGGTGGTGGCAACGTGGGATGTTGGTTAAGATAGGGATACATTATGCAAGATTGCATCACGGGTTTATTGTATCAGCACCTCATCGTACACGAGTAAGATAGCGCGGCGGGTACCTAAGATTTTTACTGGATCGGAGATTTATGGCGTTGGCGAATCCTGAAATTCGTCTTAATCGGTTTAGAACAGTTTCGATTGTATCGCGCCGTGTCCGTTTTATTATACATATCGGCGCGGCGCGCGTTGCGAGAACCCGAGGAATCCTCATCGCGCATAAATCGCATCGCGCAACGCGGTGCCACGGACTGTTCAGATTTAATAAATGACCGGAGGCGAACCGTTTTATGCTTGATAAAGCGGACGCTACGCTGGCATTGATGCATCGCTGCGAAAATTTCTTTTCGAATTCGATGTACCGATGCACTACCTCTTCACCAAAGAGAAGACTGCTCGCCAAATCAGATCGCCGATTTTTCAACTTGAATCGCCAGAGCAATATCGCCGGCACGTTCGAATGCTCGAGCATTCTTCTTCCTCATTCTTTCTCAGCTAACAACACTACAAAGCGAAAATTCGCAGAATTTTCATGCACGTGCTACGGAGCGAGAGTGTAAAAAAAATGGTAAACGAGCAAGGATAAATGTAGCCACGAATGGCTAAATTAACTCGACGGACTTGCTTAATAGTTTTCCCGATGATTATCTCTGGACAGCGGCGCGTCAACGAGGGAAGATAGCAAATTAGTTTCGCAGATAACTGTTACGTAAAGCAATTGCCTCGGCATTGCGTACGCGTGCAACTTTTCCACTTTTATGACTGCGCCCGATTGTTCCTTCGCCACGACCTTCTTCCACGAACCTCAAAACGAATTATCCCCCGTGTTTATTAAATCACGTTTACAACTGATTTTCCTTCGCGATCCTACGCGCTCTCTCTAATCGCGCCTATCTTTCGAACGCTTTACGATTTCCCTCTTTTCATCCTCGTCGCCGCGATCAATCCTCCTCCCTCTCTCGCGACGTATTTATTTCACTGTGTGTTCTCTTCACTTCTCGATCTGAAATTTTCACTCGTAACTTAAATCTCGTTTAAACGTTCGTTTTTGCAAGACGAGAGGGATCATTCTGGGGGGAAGAATGTCGAAATCGAGGAAAATTCGAGGATGAAAAGAGATATAAAGAGGCGAAACCGAAGGAAAAAAAAAAGTAGAAGAAAAATAACAAGGAGAGAAGAAGCGGAGATGTGTGGAGATGAGGAGAGACAGATATGAAAGTAGTTCAACAGGAACAGAAACGATACTTCACTCTCGTCCTTGGAAGACGTACTTCGCTCACGGCGATTCAATGAAAGATTGATGATCGCTGGTGTTGTAATTAAAACAATTTTCGAATTTTAATCTCTGTCGGATGAATCTGCAAACTATCGAAATTACGAAATAGGGGAGGGGGGGGGGCAGGAAATAGAAGATGGACTCAACGAGGTGAAACAGAAAATGAACCTCGCAGAGAATAAATTCAATCTTGTATCGCTGTCAGTCTGCTATTGACGAGTGAAAAAAACGTTTCAAAGAGAGCTAGAAACACAGCTGGTAATTTCGTTGTCAATCTTCTTATAGTCCGAAGTAAATTGTTCCCTTTGCACTTCTTTCATCTACATTAAAACGTAAAAACGTTTAAATTTATTTCCTGGCACACAGGGCCATACGTTTGTACCATCTGCACGTATCATAACACGGAAGATTCGCTTTCGTTCTCAAATAATTCAACCCCCTGCCTCCCTCGTTCATTTGCGCAATCTCGTCGGCGGCTTATGCAACATAAATCTCGGGGAAAGAAACTCGAATCTCCGGCTGTTAACAGGCCACGCGGAGCGCACGTCTAGCAAATTTAGCAATTCAAAACACGTTATCACGATATCACGACCGATCGAGCGAGCGAGAGTTGATAGTTTATCGGTGGATATGCAGATTATAACAGAGAGATGCATCCGCTCTAAACTCTGTGACCATTTATTCCGATGAATCAGAGCGTGCTTTCTCTGCTGCAGACGCGATATATATATATATATATATATATATATATATA